ATGGTTTAAAATGTTGGAATATACTTAAAATGTATATTTGCCATACTACTTCAGGTGCTCAATTTTAATAAAATGACTGGTGATGCTAAAACCCCCATTTATTTTTTCCTTTCTTGCCTAATAATCTTTAATTAGTGACTTCGCCACTTTTTCACATCACCCCACTATTTAATAATAGCTATGTAATTTTTTTTATGCATATAATCATAACCACAAATGTCATAGATTGTGATGATGCTATTTTCAAATCGGTGAGTGCTAAGGACACCCAAGGCCTCTATCAAAATTACGACCAATATTTACAAATATTAAAAATACGATTTGTGTGTATGGAATAGTAGAACGAAAAATTGTATTTGATAAAATAAAAAAGTACCTAACATATTGATTTGACCATGAAACTCTTTTGTATTAATAGTTAGGTACTATACTATAACAGTGTGCTTTGTTTACAAATCACTTTCTAATTTTTTTATTTTCATTAATTGGTCATTGTCCACATATTCATGTAATAAAACATCGATGATTATTAAAAAAAAATAAAAAAAAAAAATAATGGTACTCTTAAAATAGGTAAATATGTACCAATAAAATCTAATTAAAAAGTCTGTCAGTTAAAATATTATGATTCAATTAGGATTTTACTTAAATATTTTTAACGTTTTTGTATAGAACTAAAATTAGTTAATTTTACTCTGATTTATTTTATTTTGATTTTTAAATCAATATACTATATTGTTTAAAATATAGAAAATGGTTGTTTGTGTCCTATAAAAAATAATATCTTAAATATCTGTATGTATATAATTGTAAGAAGTTTGGCAATAATAAAGATATAAGTTGTTCTTATTTTGTAGCTTTAAATTGTTACATGAAAATATAATTCAAGTATTTTCAATATGCACAATGCTACAATGCATCTATAATATTTTATGTTTATTTTGTGATGTATTTTTTCAGTTATTATTTGTTTATTTTTTAATGGCATTTGTGTAATAAACTATCAATGTAATGATTGTATTTGTTTAAGTAGATTTTCGATTTTCTATGGTTTCTTTTAAAATTTTTCTAAAAATAAAAGTTGAATAGGAAAAAATAATGTGATGATAATTTAAAAATTAAATTTTAGTTATGTATATCATATAGATATAGCATCATGTTAAAATTTATGTTGTTTTGATAACATTTATAATTTTGTTTAATAGTTGTCGTCACTTAGTTAAATACACTTTATGAGTTAATCATTGAGAAGTTTTCATAGAAATACGTTACTAATTTTCTATAAAATTCTTATCTTACATACACTTTATTCTTTATATTTGTATCGGTATTTATGCAATCTAATTTCTTTTCTAATAATAATCAACAGATTTAAAAATTGCTTTTGTATTTTTATTTAGTGCAATTTTTTATTAATGTTAATATTTGTTTTCATCATTACATCATTACTAGCTTGTTCGTACGTAGTAATTATTTGAAATAACATATTTTTTAATTGTTATATCTGTTGGTAGGTATTTAGTATTCATTACTTAACTTCTGTGACCAATATTATCTATTCAAAGTAAAATATTCTAGTTAATTTATATTAAACTTTTATTTTAAATGTATTTTTTTATTATTCACTTATTTTTGAAGTAGCTATGTTTTTAATTTAGTTATTACATTATGACTAAACGCGTCTATATACTCTTATACGGTTAGGTTATACGCTATTAGTTCATTAATAATACAATCAACAAATGCAATTTTCAATAGAAAATTATTGTATATTACAATATATTGTAAGTTTATCTAATTTAAGTATTATACCAATTTTCATACATTGATATTAACATATTTTTTCATTGAATACTAAATAATAAATAAGTATTTTTATTTTATAAAATATATTATTGTTAAGTATAGATGGACTAATTCAGTCATAATAGGTATTTAATAAAGTCAGATGTTATAATTACATACGAATTCATTTTCATTTATCATCATTCAGTATCAAGTAAAATATTTAAGTAACAATTTTAGTCGAACTTAATATTAGATGAAATAAATTAAATTTCTAAAATTAACATTTATTTGGCATTCGTTTGCATAAACAAATAACTTTGGTTGATTTGTGTTTGTTTATGAGTTTACATTAACGCTGTATTGTATTATATAAAAACTTCACGTGTTTTTATATCATGACTATTGTAGTGAGTGAATTAATAAAATTTATAAAAAGTTTTTTCTATGAAGACAAATAATTACTATTTATTATTCAAATTTAAAGTCAGTTTGAAAATTTGTATCTCTTCTAAATACTATGTTTATCGTTATTTATTTATAATTTATACAATCATCTCGAATTAAAATGTATCTAAATATATACCACTGACTTTGAAACTCATAGGTATATACGTATTTTCGAGTTTTATTTAATAAGTGAGTATGAAGGCGTTGATAATGATAATTTAGCGTCTGTGAAATGCTGAGTGGTATCTGATGGTATAATAATGGTAGCTATAGTGGTAATGTTAAGCATAATAGTCGTTCAAAATCTTTTTGGATTATTGCATAAAATACAATTTAAAGAAATCATTAAACAATGATCAGGGCTTTATTTAAAAATATTTTAGAAGAAATAATTATTTGTCTTAATGAGGGTTAATATACTATTAAAATAAATCTGAAACTTTTAAATTAAACTGTACATAAAAATGTATTTATAAAAAATAAAAGTTTTTTAATACCATTAAGTTATTCAATTTATAGTTTTTTTTTTCTTTTATTATTATTTATATTTCTTGTTAAATATTTAGTACCTACCTATACTTATTTGTCTATTTTAATTAAACGAGCAATTTAATGTTATATAGGAATTCTTACATTGTTATATAGGTACTTGTGTAAAGAATTTCATTAGATAATTTATAAAAACTGAAATAACTACAAGAAACATAATTTATAAAATATTTTATATTTTAGTGTAGTAGTTTAGTATTGGCTTTTTGAGTAAAAAGCTATCTTTTGTTACTCCACTATTTTATTTAAATGCCTTGCTTTTATAACCGCTTAATGGATCCTGGATAGTACCTATGACTATAAATTAGGTATTATAAATATTAAGCAAGTTTATTATTAGCTTTATTCCGTCAAAAAATCAACATCTTCGTAATTAATATGTACCAGTTTGTGGTTGGTAGGCATTTGGTAACTTTCGATCTTTTCCAAATAAAATTAAAATTAATGATAAACTACAAAGAAATTTTACTATATAATTAATTATTTTTAACTTTTATAAACCAATAAATTTATTTGTTTTTTGTCATTTAAAATATTTCTGATTGAATATTTCAAATTCTATAATTATTGTATTACCATAAATGGGTATTGAGGTTATTATGGCATATTTATGATGTTCGCGAACTGTACTGTTTCGCAACAATCTACAAATTCTTTTTCGTTATCATAAATCCGCAATCGTTTGGGCTCAATGATCTTTAAAATTATAATCTCTCCTATTTCTTTTGTTCGGTTCTTAGAAAATTTCAAAATGAAAATAGAATTCGGTTCATTGTAACCTTAAAAAATTGAATATATTTTTTTAGAAATCGCGTGCAGATTATTATTTATTTTAAGACATAAAACGGCGTGTATCACCTTATGTCCTACATGTATTAAAATATCGTTCATGTATTATAATGTTACGGTGATTTAGATCATTGATTGTATTTTGCGAACAGCAGCCATCCGACCAGGTCGTTTAAGGATTAAGTCCTAGTTGGGTATATAATATATAATGCCATTATATTACCATATACTATATAGCCAAAGTGCAAAATATATCAATTGTTTAAAATTATGTTTTACGATATAATATAAATATTTAATAATATATAGTAATATACTATATTCAATGACCCTTGCAGTGGTTGGTCATAATTTATTATTTACTAAGAGATTGATTATCAATTTCTACCCTTCCTACTGTTTTTGATTCTGGTCACAAATAATCAACTTAATGCGTTTGTACATTTATTTAATATATTATTTTTTAAGTGTTTTGATAAGTAAAAGCTTCTACAGTTATAGTTATTACTTATTAGTCTACTTTTAGATTAGATATATGTCTAAGTAAAATTAAATAACATTATTTACAACTGTTAACTAAAGTTTATATTGTGGAAAAATAAGTATATCGATTTCGTTAAGTGTGTATTGTTGTAACAGTGGGTCAATAAAGACTCTCTGTGCTTTGATGTATTTTGGGAATTTGTTCATTATGTGATTAATCGTAAGGTTTTTCTTGTATGTGCCGTTTGTCGGGACCAATTCTTTGGTAATAAGATTGAAATTGGTTTAATGTTTTTGTACTATTCCAACATGAAGTAGTTATAACATATTTTTATTTTAAAATAAGAAAAAAAATTCTTTTTTTTTTTTATAAAAGGTCTTAAAATTCTTAATTTGTTTGAAAGTAGTTGATACATTTTTTCGAATTGTTTGACATGCTTTCTTGGTTTTATAGGTGACAACATTTTCTAGGTATCTAAGTATAAAAGAAAAGCCACTTGGATGTTTTATTCGTTTATTAGTAGTTTATATCATATTTTATATATATTGTATTAGTTCATTTTTGAATAGGGATTCGTGATTTATTTTATAGCCCTCAAAGAGTCATTAGTGATAATGGAATAATTATAGAGTTCGAAAATGAAGACATTTTTAAAGTTTATATACTTATTATAATTTATATTGTAAGTATAATCACGAATAAGGTATTATGTTAAACGCAGCTTAAATTGTATACTTTTAGAAGAAAACTGTATTAATATTAACATTACGGTTATCATTATTTTACGTCACAAACAACTTTGAGTTGTTTATAAAAAAAATGATGATTCTCCCCAACCCCAAATTTGCTTCAATAACATACCTATGAATATATTTAGATATTTTTTATAATAATATTAAATAATGTGGATATTTAAAATGTGGTACTTATTTTTTCTTTACAGGAAAAGAATTCGTTTTTGAATTTCAACGTGAGCTGTATATTAACGTTACCCCCGTACCAAAGGCAAGGATATGGCAGGCTTCTCATCGATTTCAGTAAGTGGAATATTTATTTTTTTTTCCTAACAAAATATTTTCGTCATTTGTATTCACTACGCAAGGATAACTCCCGTGTTTTTTCCGTATTTTACACGCTACCTATATGTATATATAAGTACGTACACACACACAAACGCACACCGTCGTCAATAGGGATGTAATACTGTCATTTCTTCACTGCCAACGATTTGAACATAACCAATATCTTATTACGTATATGTGCTCCGAATCGATGTCACGTCCCGCAACAGATATAAACGAATAGATAAATAGTACGAACGCGAATACTAGTTACGAATTGAATTTATACCGTGAAATAAGAAACGAACCCTACCGACTGGAAATGTAAGTACCTAAATCGTGTTGTTCCAAATTTTTGTGGTTTTGTAAATATTTTGTGCATTTATTATTTCCAACATTGACGTGCAACGCATATTGGATTAATCGTGCATCATCATGTCATATATTATAATGTATAAATCCCGAATTTTTCGATTTCTCTCGATCTATGCACACCCAAACTCATAGATATTTATTTATTTATACATAATGCATATGTTTGCAGTATACATTGACACAACGTTGTTTGAAAATATTTTGCTGAATATTCGTTAGTTTTATTATGAATATTGTTTTTTATTTTCAGAAATAGTTTTACGAATACTTTTATTTTATTAAACTAAACGATAAGTTAACGATTTTAAATTCGTTCGGCGTTCAAAGTAACGCACTGATTTTAATTTTTTTACATACCTAATATATACATAAAAAAAATAAATATGTAATTATAATTATTATAATTCATAAAATCGTAGTCATTTTTAATAATCATGTATTTAATTATAATATTTATTATAGGTAACTATAAAATATTTTTAAATACGACGTTTCTTAATCAATTGGCCAGAAGGTATACGTTACCTATACCTTAAAGTTATTTTAAAAGTAATTTTAAATTACTGATATTATTAACAAGTTACGTCGCATTTGCAATCACTATTTATCTGTCAAAGATTATCAATAATATAGAAAGTGTCAGACTTATGACTGCTTTTTGTATTAACGTTTCTTCATAAGATTTTAAAGCTTAATTTATAATACGCGTACCTTATTTAATATACGTAACAGTTAATAATTCTTAAAGATGAGTAAATTACATGCATCTTACTTAGTCATTATATAATAACAAACATAAATCTTCAACTGTTCCTGTACTTATGTATTTGTTTGTTTATTCTATCGAAGTGCATTATTTTAGTTTTTATACATAAGATGTGTCAAAATATTTTTGGTTTCGTTAAATGAAATTCTTTGTGGAAATAATGTAAAATATATGTAAAATAGGACTCTATAATATTGTGTATGGTAAACTCTAACGATTTCACCCTTCGTTCTTCTATTGCTACCATGCACATTATGTAATACATTTTCTATTCAACCCAAGTATTATTCTTAATATAAGGGAACCCAAAACAACAAGGAAAGGTAAAAGCACGTCCGATGAGGTTTAATTCATATATAGTCAATGGAATTGTTTTATTAAATATTATCTTTGGGACTAAGCCGACCGTTTTAATATGGTTATATATAGGAATCCCATAGTAACTGAAATCGGATAAGTTATACGCATAAGAATAATTTGAGTGCATTTTAATGTACTAATAACTTTTCCATTGTTTAGCTCAATTTCAAATTATTATTACAATATTAATTTTAAATGAATATTATATCGTTTTGAAATCCAGCTTAGAATCAATGAAATATGAAATATACGGTTATGTCATTAAATGTATATAAACATACATTTTTGATGTTTTTTCTTTTTGTGTTATGGTATTTATACATGGTCTTATATACGTATTAAATCTCCATTATATACTGGATTTATAAAAACTAACATAATAGATACATTTTAGTCGTTTTAAAACATATTCTGTATAATATATTTGGATTTTTACTTGTATAATATGTATGTTTGAAACTATATTGCAGTATTCATATTTTATCATCATAACTTACATATATACTAGGCACGCATGTCATCTTAAATTCGTTCTACATTATCACGAAGTTCCACTAAATTAGTATAACTATTTTTGATTTTTAACAGTAGATACTTACTTTAACAGTAACTACAAAAGTTTTTTTTTAATTATAACGCTTCAGCCGTTTACATTTATAGATACGTGTACTAAATTAGTCTCTTTTTACCACTTATTTTTTGTATTGCTACCAGGTCATCGGTAAATTGAATAATATAATTTTAACGTTTTATTTAAATATACTTTAAATTGTACTCGTTATAACTAAGTTTTTTTTCAGTATTATTAACATCAAAGTCCTCTGAATTCCTACACTTGATATTAATCAATCACTGATGCACTGTATCACGTAACATTGATTTATACATTTACTTTAAATTTTTTAATAATATTCTAATAAATAATTATTTATCAAATCAAAGTTATTTAAAATGTTTAATGTAATATATTTTTATGATAAGCAAATTTTAAAACATTTTTTATTTGATACTATAATTTATACAGATAATACTAATTTTTGAAATTATTACTTCACTTGATTTTCCATACTCAAGGTTTTTATTTAATAATCTATATTTTTTAATCTCATAACGATAAGGAAATTATTAACTGTCATTATTTTTGAAAATATTCTGTGCATTTGTTAATTTATATGGTCATGGAATTTGAATTTAGGATTGGATAATTTGAAGTATTTAGTGCTGAGTTAGGAATTGTTTGCATTTTGAAACCATGGTGTAGGATGTATGTGATTACTTACTTATAGAGGAAATTTGGTGGTGAGTAATCGCTTAGACTAAAATATTTAACAGTGTGGAAATATTGCAGTATTACTGTCTAGAAGTTTCTGAAAGTTAGACACCCGTGTGTCATGGTTGGTGTAATTAACTATTTATATAGAAGTATTAAATTATCTATAACAGTCATTTCTGATAGTAGTATTTGACGGAGTTTGTGAAGGTTTAGATGAAATATTTATAAATGAAGTTTAAGTTATTTAATAGAATTTTGATTAGTTTTGATAGGCATCTATCTCCTTCCTGCTAAGAATAAAGACGATAGATACTTATTGTGACCGTAATCGTCTAGTGGTTATTGTTGATATATGCTATCTGCAATAATTCGTGGTTATAGACTGAATGTGATGCATCATTTTCGTAGATTTAAATGATTCAAATTGTTTTAAAATTTTTAAATACAAGTCTTATGAACGCAATAAAACATCGAAGATTAGTAAAAAAATTTACTCGTAGAATATCTGTAGTATAATATAATATTTTATATATTTTATCTAATACTGGGTCTGAAAAATAAGAAGACATCCTCATTGCGCGCATGTTTCTTTTTCTTGTAGTATTGGATGATTTTCTGATCATATCGAATAGAAAAGCTGAGATTTACGATAGAACCTAATATAAAAAAGTGGTTTTGGTAGTAATTTGAGCTTTTATATTATAGAGCAGCCCAACATAAGCGAAATATCCTGATTATGATCATATATATTATACGCTGTCTAAGTGTATACATTTTCCCAATACCAAAAAACATAGTTATTAAAATAATGTAACCGTAGAATGGAAAAGGAATCTGTAGTTATCTGGTTATATAGAATAATATACAGTTATATAGAATATACAATATACAGTGTTTAATTTAATTTAAAATTACTTGTTTAATTTAAGTAATTTACATAAAAAACTTGTTGTTAATTTGCTTAAAAAGTAAGTTAAATATATTGAATATTTAATTGTAATGTTCAATTCGATAACATTTTTTTTTTCAAATTATTTTGAACGTTAACGTCAATGCGTTATGCATACATAATATGTACCGTAGTTTCTTTGTCGTTGTATTTAATTATAATAATATGACATGTCACAATATACATAATACATACGTTTATTTTAACTTTCAATTATTCATTTTATATTTGTATACATGCTTAAAAAAAATATTATTTAAATAAATATAAAACTTCATATTACGTAATAATTCTTGTATTTTTAAAATAATCATTTATTCAATTAAATCGTATTTTAATTTGATACAAATATAAAAATAAAAAATACATCTTATTAAAATTCGTATTATTTTCGGGAATTTGATATTTTCGACGCAGAATCTCTGATTTATTTTTATTTATATATAATATATATATATATATATATCGTTAGAAATATTATACTTGAAAAGTTATTATTATGAACTATATGTCTATATATATTATATTATATTATATACATAAATATTGTACGCACTATGAAACCAAGACCCATTAAATAGAATCCGGTAAGATGTCGAACGAATTAATTCACTTAGATTATGTAAATCAATTAGCGAAAATAAATTGACTCGTAAAAAATTGTGATGTGAAAAGAAAAACTAATTAAGTAAACGAAAACGGTGCTAATAGGAAAAAAAAACAAGTCTTGGCAGTGGTATGGTGAGGATATTAAAAAAAAAAAAAAAAAAATCATAAATAATAATAACCGGACAAAAAATCATTTGCTTCTAAAAATAAAAATAATAACGGTAATGGTATAGCGAGACACGTGAGGTTGATATCCCCTAGCCGCAGCGTCGGTGTCGATCGTGTCCCGGACAATGCGTGCGTGGGTGGGTGCGTACGTATGTCTGTGCGAGACTGATCCGATGTTCCGCGGAAGGGTTGTTGAAGAGTAATAGCCGGGCAGAGGGTGGTGCGGTGTATACAGGCCTCTGCGCGTACATATATAGGGGTGGTCGGGGACGCCGCTCGCGGCCGGTAGGCACGGATATAGGCGCGGCGGTGTTATATTATTGCCGTCCGTCTGATATATAACGTCAACCGGCCTCACCGCGACGACCGAGCGGCCACCCCGGAAATGAACGGCGCGACGCGAACGCGCAATGCAGCAAAGCCACCGCCGTCGCGTACGCATACACACGCACCGTAAATACGGCCTACGCGGTCGA